TTTTTTTTAATGAGTTATGAGATGTGAGTTGGATTATCTTTGCAGCACTCCGGACTCGTCCATGGGTGCTCAGATTTCCCCTTCAACGTGTTCATTAGCGTCGCGCAGTTAACAGTACCAGTCCTATGCTGGTTGACAAAACTGTGTGTGCGTTCGGTGTGTTTCTCCTGCTTGGCTGTGCCGATCATTACTGCAATTCTCGAATTATTAGCAGTGATGTGGACACGTTGCTTCCAAAATCCTTGGAAAGTCTTATCTATTTGAGGGCATTGACAATCTCTGCGTGATCCATGAACCGGCCATTTGCAATTGATGCAGAACCTGCCAGTCTACCATCTCTTTCATTGCCTAACAACACATGCATACCATGGAACTGATCCTTCTTTTTAAACCAGGGTGAAGGTGAGCGAAGCAATATTTTTAGACCATTTGCGTAGGAACTAGTTATCAATCATGATAAGACAGAATACCTGATAATAATTAGACAGGGAAAAGATATAAACTTCAGCCACATACAAGTCGATAATATGAAAATAAAACGAACGGAAACATATAAGTACTTAGGTGAAACTTCAACTTCTCCAACATGCTGAGAAAAGAAATACAATCTAGAAATAAAGTATACTATGCCCTTTAACATCTGCTAAAGTCAAAGTGTCTGTCTCACAACACCAAGATCAAAATATTTAAAACGTTGATAAGACCAGTCGTTTTATATGGGTCTGAAACGAAGCAGAAATAAAAGAGATGAGACCTTATTACGGGTTTTCCAAAACAGTCGTACGACAATCTTTGGACCCATCAAAGATACAGACAGCGATGAATGGCGAGTGAGAAGCAATAACGAAATTCATAATCTGTTTAAATCACCACTGATCACTGTCATCATGAGAGCTAATAGACTGAAATGTTTTGGGCATATTAAAAGAATGTCAGATGACAGAGAAGTAAAAACTGTATACACATGGGAGACAATGGTTGCAGACCACGAGGCAGACCAAGAAGACGATGGAAAGAAAATGTCCACAGAGACCTGCGAACACTTGGTACACCAACTCAAAAGAGAAGGCCAACCAGAGAGATGAATGAAGGCGGGTTATATCTGCAACAATGAACCCCAAAGCTCGGAATTATGAAGAAGAAGAAGAAGAAGATTTGCATACGAACACAAAAGGTTATTAGTCTCTGATTTACTGTAGGGGACGCGTTCGTTTTTCTCGCCTGTACGACCAGGGAATTAATGGTTGACCACTTGGATACAATATTTTCGCCTCTCGGCTTAATGCATTCGATTTTAACACATTTATAATTATTCACATTTTACAAGCCCAAGTTGGGCTTCAGAATCTACACAGTGAGTGAAAACTATAGGCGGGATTTTAACTGTGGGTTCCAAGTGTGGGTTCCGGTAAACAAGAATAGACCCACTGCCTACCTAAAGCATGTCGTGAGAGTCGACTAATTGGGAGCTTTCTTCGAAGTCAGAGTTCATCTGCATGAGAGGCAAGGAACCAACAGTCTGCATACAAATTAGTCTGTTCAGACTGTGATGGTTTTTTTTTAATATTTTTTATATAGCTAGAAACCATGAGTTGTTAACCGTCTGCCTCGGTGCTTTGGATATCGCAACCCTTCGGCCTTGATTCCATGAGAGATACCGTAAATCTGGGAGAAAGGTGGCGTTTCTGCATACTCCCTACTTGCATGCATAACTTTACCACCAAGTGGTGCAGAACAATATAGTCCGCGCTCGAGAGAGAGGGAGAGAGAGAGAGAGAGAGAGAGAGAGAGAGAGAGAGAGAGGGAGAGAGAGAGAGGGGGGGAGAGAGAGAGAGAGAGGGAGGGAGAGAGAGAGAGAGAGAAAGAGAGAGGGTGGATGGAAAGGGGTGGCTCATTTCATGACATTGGCGCATCAGCGCTATATTCAAATTTTGAGATAAGCCATACCATTTCTGTCACTGTTGTTACGTTTTCAAAGTATGTAGTCTTTTGTCTTGCATTCCGGTAAAACTCGCTTCTATTGCTATAATGCTACATTTATCCACATCATTATCAGATTCTCTTCTTCTTCTTCTTCTTCTTTTTCTTCTTCTTCTTCTTCTTCTTCTTCTTCTTCTTCTTCTTCTTCTTCTTCTTCTTCTTCTTCTTCTTCTTCTTCTTCTTCTTCTTCTTCTTCTTCTTCTTCTTCTTCTTCTTCTTCTTCTTTTTCTTCTTCTTCTTTTTCTTCTTCTTCTGCCTCTTCTTCCTCTTCTTCTTCTTCTGCCTCTTCTTCTTCTTCTTCTTCTTCTTCTTCTTCTTCTTCTTCTTCTTCTTCTTGTTTTTCTTCTTCTTCTTCTTCTTCTTCTTCTTCATCATTATCATCATCATCATCATAATCTTCGTCGTAGCTCCGGTGTTGCTTCTGTAAATGTGTTTATGGTTACTGTTTTTTTTTCTTTTTTTTTTTTTCTTTTCTAAATTTTTTTTAAAAATATGATTAATTGACGTTATTCCAATGCAGGTGCAGACGGAAATCAGGAAGAGGTACATCCGCCACAAGCTGAGAGTCAACTCACGGAACTATCAGAACAAGTATGTGGCAACAGCCACTTCGCAAGTGCGTGCTCCGACGTGGCCATCTTGTTCCCCCAGACACGCATCTAGGTAGTGCAAGGTGTAGCCCACATTGTCCTCCGCCTTTGACATTTATAGAGGTCTTTGGTTAGAACTAGCAAATATTCATTGGTAGTTGCATCGCTACAATCTTGTTCAACCAAACAGCTGGCGTTTCCACAATGAGGGCTGGTTGCAGTAATCTTCAAGCTGTGTCCTTCGCTGCTGATCGTCTGTCTTTTGATGTTATCATCCCACTTATATCGCTGGCTATCTCTTGTTACTTGCCTTCGACCCCCCCCCCCTTTTTCCCCCACCCCCAGTATGGTTTTTTAGGAGTGTTCTTCTTAAAGTCTATGACGTGTGCCGTTGGTAGTCGTGTTTATCCACAACCTTCTGCCTCGTGTACTTTCAGTCAACTCTGACCCCGATGATCCTCCATGCCATTATGTCAGACTGTCCAGCATCTTTTCTCTTGGCCTCCCTCTGCCTCTTCTCCTCTGCAACTTTCCTACTGTCACGATGTACTCCAGTTTACTCTTTCTCATTACATGACATGACGAAAGAATGTAGATTGTCTTTTTCTGATGTGGGAAATCAGTTCTCTTCGTGCGTCAGTTTCTTTCAATACATCCTCATTATTATTTTTTTAATCTGCCCAGGATATTCTCATCATTCGTCTATAAAACCAATCTTCACAGCTTCCAAATAATTTTTCACTAATCTACCAACTGTCCTTGATTCACTTTCGTATATCAAAAAAGATTTACATTGCTTTTAAGGATTCTCTTTTTCGTCGCAGTTGACAAAGAAAAATTGCATAAAATGTTCATTTTGTAAAATGCTGCCTTTGCTTGAGCTGTTCTGCATTTAAATACATTAAATCATCTTCCATCTGATGTTAACAGGGTACCCAGGTACTTAAACATATCAACTTGCTTGAGGTTTGTCCCACTCATTTGGATGTTGCATTTTGAAGTGTCAGTTTTCTTCAAGAGTGTTATGTTGTTTAAAATGACTGAACAAAATCTCTCTCTCTCTCTCTCTCTCTCTCTCTCTCTCTCTCTCTCTCTCTCTCTCTCTCTCTCTCTCTCTCTCTCTCTCTCTCTCTCTCTCTCCCTCTCTCTCTCTCTTTTTTAATTTGCCACAGCGGCTCTCAGTTGTTATTATTGTGGTCTAAAGAAACAAAAAATAACTTATTACAATTCCTGCTTCTAACTATATAACGATATCCTCCACTACCTTCCTGGCCGCTCAAGATTCTTCTGTTAGAAATACGATATGCCACTTGTTCCTGTTGTTTGTCTATCGCTACGGAAGTGGATGTGTAGCGTCTATTGTCTTTCCTCGAGTAATATTAGTGGTGTCTTATTAGACTGAGAGAGCAGGGCGGTTATTTGTTATTGCAAAATCCAAATAGGGAAACACTTCAATAGTCTATAGTTTTTCTGAACTCATTCATTGGCACCTTTCCGTCTTTCCAGGCGATAGTGTTATATTGCGCTATGTGGAGGCATGAGACTCACAGCCCATGGCGATGGCGAGTGTGACTAGCAGGACCCGCCCGTGTCAAGAAACGTCTTCCACAATGATAGCATGGGATTTCAGGACCATTTTTGACAACATTTGTGTTTAATCCGTTTTTTCTCAGACGCTCAGCTCTCATCCTTTCTGCAGTCATTTCTTTCTTCAGTCTCATTCCCTTCCTGATATGCCCTTTCTAAAATGCCCTTTTCTCACTACAAGGTCCATGGCATTTTGTTCCCATGAGTCCGCCTCAATACCTGTATCATTCATGTCCCGCTTGAATACATCTTTATAACGTAGTAGAGGTCGGCCTCGACATCTTCCTTCTGTCTTTAATTCACAATTAAGGATGTCCTTAGGGACTCTGCCATCCTTCATTCTCCAGGTGTGACCCAGCCATCTGAGCCTTCGTAGACTGAGCATGGAAAAGACTGTTGTAGTACCTGCTCTTCTCAGTACCTCAGTGTTTGTGATTTTTGTCCTGCCACTTAATGCCAAGTATTCTTCTTAGGCATCGCATGTGAAAGCCATTAAGTCGTCTCTCCTGGTGCCAATAGGTTGACCAAGTTTCACTGCCATAAAGCAGAGTGCTGAGAACACAAGCCTGATAGACAAGGGTTTTTGTTTTAATTGTGAGCTTTCTGTTCTCCCAAACTCTCGTTGTCAATCTGCTCATTGTTGTTGCTGTTTAACCTATCCTGATGTTGATTTCTTGGTCCAGTGATAGTTTACTATTCACTGTGGAACCTAGATAGGTAAAATGGTCTACTGTCTCAAGCTCTTCACCATCAATGTAGACTACTGAACTAATGGTGGCAATAATTCTTATTGGGATTTTTTTCCTTATGATTTTTTTTAAAGCGAGGACAATGTTGGACGCACCATGCTTTTTTTAAGCTCCTAGATGGGGTACATATGAAAAAAAATACGATTATATATATATATAGAGAGAGAAAGAGAGAAAGAGAGAAAGAGAGAAAGAAAGAGAGAAAGAGAGAAAGAAAGAAAGAGAAAGAAAGAAAGAAAGAGAGAAAGAAAGAAAGAGAGAAAGAAAGAAAGAGAGAAAGAAAGAAAGAGAGAAAGAAAGAAAGAGAGAAAGAAGGAAAGAGAGAAAGAAAGAAAGAGAGACAGACAGACAGACCAGACAGACCAGACAGACAGACAGACAGACCAGACAGACCAGACAGACCAGACAGACAGACCAGACAGACAGACCAGACAGACCAGACAGACAGACCAGACAGACAGACCAGACCAGACCAGAACAGACCAGACCGACAGACAGATGTTTTAACTTTGTGTAGGTAGCAACAAATAATATTTACAATTTAATGACAGCTTACATTCTAGCACTAGCATTTCACCAATACACCAACCACACACCCTAACTATTATCATCATCAAATATTTCACTCATGCCCGGCTGTGGTGCTGTATGATAACTGACCCAAACGTGTCTATCTTGTACTGCTCACATTTACTTCTTGTACGTCAGCAATGATAGATCTGTACGCACTTGCTGTATTCAAATAATATCTAGGTCTTCCACTTTCAAACCCTCCCCCCCCCCTCTTTCTCCCCACCCTCCCTTTTTTTCCAATCTTTGTAAATAACATGAGGCCATAAGCTTCTGTTTGCTTTCCTGTTTCGTTAGAAAGTGTTCTCTTTGTAAGTTTTTGAATCCAGCTGGTGTTTATCAAGCGCTCTCTCTCTCTCTCTCTCTCTCTCTCTCTCTCTCTCTCTCTCTCTCTGTCTATCTCACACACACACACACACACACACACACACACACAGAGAGAGCTGTGGATTGTTTTCGGGGTTTCACGCTAGTGTAGCCACAAGATGTTGGCTTGCGGATCTGAAGATCATGGGTTCAAATCCAGAGGAGATATAAAACCAAACGAAAAGTATATAAGCAAGCTTCACAATATAACAAATTCAAACAAAACGTGAACGTTGCGGCTATTGAGCCTTCATCAGCACATACAAATGAAATAATACTACACAGAAACATAAAATCACTTAGCTGGTATCTCGAAGCAGTCCAGAGGGTGCTAAAATTTGTGTTTATGTTTTTTGTTTTAAAAAATGACTTTGGCTTTCAGGTCGATCCATCCTTAAATAGGTACCAGGCAAAAATACTGGAAAGTAAAGGAGCCCGGCGTGTTCATCCCCCCAAATGCCGACTAGTCTACAAAAATATAGGTCTAGCTCTATATGCCCAATATACCTGAAGGTGGAAAAAGGGTCCTTTACTTTATGGCTTGTTTTCAGTTGAAGACACATCAGAAGAAGAATATTAACTAGCCTGTGTGTGCACATGAAAAGAACATTACAATATTTTTTCTGAAACGTTAATCACGTTTAATGTCATTTTACGTTCGATTAGCAGTGTAGTTTAAAAAATACACAGAAAAGTTAAGAAGCTTTCTGAAATCCTAAAAGCTCACTCGATTACAAATATTCTTTTATTTGTATTTGTTGCAGGGAGCCGAACTCGTCCAGTGGGTCTGAGAATAATTCGTGCATGAACAGACAGAAACTGAAGATTTATATCCACCAGACTCGCTGTTACAGGTCTCCGATAGAGGTCTCTGTGCCCAATGACGTCAGACCCATCATTTACATGTCCAAACGGAACAGTTTTGTCTAACTCGGCCCTGGCATTCACAACTGCTCAATTTATTGGTTCTCGAACGGCCGCGGTCGAATTGTCCATTCTCATATGACAAGGAAGCGTTAAGGACAGGTAATCACTTATAAAACATCCAGTGCTAGTCAACCACTAGACAGCAAACTGTTCCTCCCCAAGGCGCTTTAGAGAAAACAGAGGAAACATGTTTTTTATACAACAAATAAACAACGTGGCGCAAGAGTAGTAACCCATAGGTGCTCTGTTCTACTTCTAACTCAAACCTAAATGCAGAGAATTTCAGCACAGTGCACGAACTCTGTAGCACCGGCAAGGATCCTAAAATACATTTGGTTGACTTTCAACTCCATATTTTGCTCGGGGAGCGCCGTTAGGCTACTATTTTCGATTTTCAACTGCCAAGGGATTTTTTTTTTAAAGTGTGCAACAAATTGTAACTTTTCAAGTTTCAAAGGTACATACTGTAATGTTATACAGGCATTATCATTCAGGAGACTGATAAAGGAGTTGTATTCTCCCCGTGTGGGTTCCGGGACCCGATCGTTGTGACAATAAGAACAGACTTACTGCATCCCCAAAAAGCATGTCCTATGAGTACACTAATTGGGGACTTTCTTAGAAGTTAGAGTGCAACTGTCCCAGCGGCATGAATCAACCAGTTGCATACGAATACTCCAATAAAACTAATGTACACGCAAAAGTTAGGTCTTGGCACAAAGCCTAAGGCCGAATGGACGAAAACCAAGGAATTTTCGCCACAGCTTATAGACGGTGAACAAATAAGAAGAAATAGAAGAAGAAGAAGAAGAAGAAGAAGAAGAAGAAGAAGAAGAAGAAGAAGAAGAAGAAGAAGAAGAAGAAGAAGAAGAAGAAGAAGAAGAAGAAGAAGAAGAAGAAGAAGAAGAAGAAGAAGAAGAAGAAGGAGGAGGAGGAGGAGGAGGACAAGGAGGAGGAGAAACAGACTTCCTAATGCTACTTCTCCTCACGCACAATGAGTAAATCGACACCATAAGCAAAAAACACTTGTCAGCTGTACAAGCACACAATCACCAGGGACATAATGAATGTTACGGCTAGGACGCCCCCATTAGCACTAACAAAAACAGCTCTAAAACAACCTATGTAAGAACGAAAAAAAAAACGTCCGACAGAGAACAAAAACACTTCTTTATCAAGGCATTGACCTAGCTGTTATCTGAAAATTCCAGTGCAGAGGATTACAACTAAAATAAATCTGGTTGCTGTGGGAGCCAGAAGACTGTCATTATGTCGAATTTTGTTCAGATTTGCAACCAATTTGACTAAGAGGACACCTTCGGGGAAACACCAGGTGCAGACTCCAGAGACGGGTGTCACAATAACTTACTGCTCAATTTAATTGTTATCCACATACCGAACTGTTGTACAAATTCTCTCCAACGTTTCCATTTTAATTTTATGTTGTGTTGTTGTTGTCGATGTTGATGACGATAAAAGTTGTGGTATATCGTGGTGTCAAGGTATTCTCAAGTATGTGGCGATGAGAACCACTTAGTAAAATTTGAACCACAGTAAAAAAAAAAAAACACACAAATTTTTCTCGTGTGCTAGTGTTTAATATTTTTGTCTTCTATATTTTTTTTTCTTGTTTCTGTCCTGACGAAAACAAACTTTGAAAGATAAAAAAAAATTATTGTATCCTCTAACTACATTATTCTTGCTCCTGTGGTGACGGAGACAAAACACCGTTGAAAGATAAATATTATAAGTTGCTGAAATGAAAATAACGACGTTGAATATTTTGCCTTCAAAACAGTATTTTCAAGATGAACAAGTTTGCATAAGTAATTTTTTTTTTCTGAACAGTTAGCATTGTGCTAATATTGATGTAAGTAAGTTTATTATTGTAAAGATAATGGTATAAAGCTTTATATAAGATCCGTTGTGTTGTTTTCGTTTCCTATGTGACATTCTATGGGAACATAAAAGAAACACAACAGGAATCGTCCAGGAACATACAAACACACACACACACACATATATTATATATATATATATATATATATATATATATATATATATATAAAGAAAGAGAGAGAGAGACAGAGAGAGAGAGAGAGAGAGAGAGAGAGAGAGAGAGAGAGAGACAGAGAGAGAGAGAGACCTGATTAAACTGTTGTTATTAGGTCTCCTTTAGAATAACATGATCAGAATTTTAACTTGCCGAGCACTTGAGTTCAAAAGCATGGAAGTTCAATTCACATCACTCCTAAATCCACCTACAACAACTGCAGAGAGCACTTGAGTTCAGGGATCGGTTGCTTGCACAACCAGACCCCATTCCCCATTTCAAAAAATACGACAAATAACGTTTAGAATCACTGTTAGGCTTCATCAACCAATTCATCGACATCAGTGTTATGTGCCTAACCTGCTTTTATAATAGGACACCGGTTCTCAACTTGCCGGTCGCCACCCTCTGTGTGTGTGTGTGTGTGTGTGGTGTGGGGGGGGGGGGGGGGAAGTTGGCTGTCACGGGGTCGCCTAAGACCATCGGCAAACACAACAATTGAAGTGATGAAGGAAAATAATTGTTCGGGAGTCGCCACAACATGAGGGAACTGTATTAATGGGTCGCCACAACATAAGGGAACTGTATTAATGGGTCGCCACAACATGAGGGAACTGTATTAATGGGTCGCCACAACATGAGGGAACTGTATTAATGGGTCGCCACAACATGAGGGAACTGTATTAATAGGTCGCCACAACATGAGGGAACTGTATTAATGTGTCGCCACAACATGAAGGAACTGTATTAATGGGTCGCCCCAACATGAGGGAACTGTATTAATGGGTCGCCACAACATGAGGGAACTGTATTAATGGGTCGCCCCAACATGAGGGAACTGTATTAATGGGTCGCCACAACATGAGGGAACTGTATTAATGGGTCACCACAACATGAGGGAACTGTATTAATGGGTCACCACAACATGAGGGAACTGTATTAATGGGTCGCCACAACATGAGGGAACTGTATTAATGGGTCGCCACAACATGAGGGAACTGTATTAATGGGTCGCCCCAACATGAGGGAACTGTATTAATGAGTCGCCCCAACATGAGGGAACTGTATTAATGGGTCGCCCCAACATGAGGGAACTGTATTAATGGGTCGCCACAACATGAGGGAACTGTAATAATGGGTCGCCCCAACATGAGGGAACTGTATTAATGGGTCGCCACAACATGAGGGAACTGTATGAATGGGTCGCCACAACATGAGGGAACTGCATTAGTGGGTCGCCCCAACATGAGGGAACTGTATTAATGGGTCGCCCCAACATGAGGGAACTGTATTAATGGGTCGCCACAACATGAGGGAACTGTATTAATGGGTCGCCACAACATGAGGGAACTGTATTAATGGGTCGCCACAACATGAGGGAACTGCATTAGTGGGTCACGGCATTAGGAAGAACCATGTTATAAGATCAATATAATCCTGTGAGAATTATTTACACAATTTCGAATCTATCCAAACCCAAGAACTGTGTTCAGTACTTTTGGCAAAGTAAAATACTCACAATTTTAAAACTATAAATGGTGGCCTGAAAAGACGTTATGTAAGGAATAGCTGCGAACTAGATCGGTCTCTTACGAGACATGTCTGGCCAAACTAGTAGGGAACAAATATAGGAACACATTGGGGGACACAAGGTCACGGTTAGGTTCACGTTAATCTCCCCAAAAAGTAGGTCACTTTTCATTCACAAGTGTGTTGGGCTGGTCAATTTTCCTGAAGGTTACGGGTGTGTCCCGCTATGTTGTTTTGCTTTCTGCGTTGTCTTGCATTTACTTTTTATTCCGAGAAAGAGAATGCCTGTGTGAGCTAGTGTGTGTATGGGCGGGGCGTGGGAAAACAAACGTTACTTTAACCCAAAGTCACAATAACAAAGAGAATGAACTGCACGGAGGATGACCCACGAGGAAAAACACCAAGAAGATAAGGTTAAGAGAAACACACTGGAATACAGGCAGTTTTAAAAAAGGGTAGGAAATTATAGGGAAGAGAAGAAAAAGGCGTAAAAAAAAAAAACCAAATTGCTTATGTCAGCTTTACAAAATCAATTACAATGAACAAACAAAGGACGTTGCGGCGTTTAGCCTTCATCAGCAAACAAAGACACCACCACACACACACACACACACACACACACACACACACACACACACACACACAAATATACACTAACTATAGAATTACTACATTTGACTGTTTTATACTAAATAAATGATACTCATCTGGGTCCTTGGTGAAAAATCTGAGCAGATAAGCTGAACAGGTTTTGGGACACAGACAGGAAGAAGAGGTCTTGCTATTATGTTAGGAACTTAAAGCAAAAGAGCTAGCTCACGTATCACAATCTTAGCAACACAAGTGGCGCAACTAAACCAGACCACAAAGATAACTTGAGACTGTTGGCAACCTGCTGCTAACAGCAGGTTGAAAGTGGTCGATTTTTTTGTTTTTCAAGAATGGAATGTAATGTAATTTCATCTTCGTCTTCTTACTTTCTTCTTCTTCTTCTTCACTTCCTCTTTTACCGCTGTGGGTGTCGAGGGAGATATAAGGTTCTGTTTCTAGCTCTTCTGGCTGCCTCGACCATAGGCACATCGTGCTGTTGTAGAGTTTCTCTGATATTATCCTTCCATCTTGTTCTTGGTCTACCCCGTGCTCTACGTCCTTCTTCTCTTTCCATGTATGCTTTGTATGGTATGGTGTCACAAGGCATTCTCTCTAATTCTTATTGTTCGCCGACTATAAACTTCAGATGACAGCGCTTGTTGTTCTTCAATTCTTTGGACCTGTCTTGCTCAAGAACTTGACTATTTTGAAGGCACATTTGTTTTACAGATCTGCCTTACTTGTATACAGACGGTTGCTTCCTCACCGCTATTAGATTCGCTCCGACTTTAGAGGAAGAAATCCTAAGTAGTCGCCTTTTGCGATATGC